TGAAGTAAGATATATATATATATATATATGATGTGGAAAATTACTTGGGCCAATGATTTGATGGAAATGTCCACTGAGTAGACTCTATGGAAAGTCATCAGAAGAGATGTTGCATTGACTGTGAGTTGTCGGTGTAGGAATGGTAGGAATGAGGATTCCTGTAGCTGGAGGTAATGTACCCAAAGACAAGGAGAGTTATTGCTAAGAAGATAATGGCAGTTCCTCTAGCTAGGTGGAGTGACCTCTCAAGTTGGTTTGGCTGACCCTAGCAAGCCAACTACAGTTTTTCACAAATGCTGCTTCATCTTAACAAGATTTGGACATTTGCATTGTAAGCCAAAGTTAAATTTCGTTTTACAACTTTTTAATGTCTTAATGATTGAAATTAAGCAAATAGTTTTTTATTTTTTCTAATTAGTGAAAAGTGAAAGTGGTCTTAAAATATGCACTTGGTCTCTTTGTTTAGTGCTTACTCTTTCCTTTTTCTAACCATTTGATGTTGTTGCTATGTAATTCTATTTGTCTTAAAATGGTTGTGTGAATAATTTCAATCATAAGTTAAACCCAAGTATTTTGCACAAATACAATTCATTTAGAATGAATCAAAGTATAGGTTTAGTCATTCTAACTAGATGTGAAAGAAGAGATAGGTTAAAAGGTGGTGTGAATCAGATGAAAGTGAACACTAATTCTAGCCATTCCCAATCTGGTCTCGCTTTTGCCCTGATCAATTCTCTTATTCTAACTATTCATTTGATTAGTTGAGCTATTATACTGATGATACATTTCATAGCTTCGACTCAAGAAACCTTTTAGAACAAATGAATTGTAATAAGAGATTGATATATATGAAATTTTATCATTTGTAAAATAATAAGCCAATATTACACTAGAATTAGTGAGCTTCTTGCACTATAAAATGTTGTAATATGGTGTTTTATGTTGATCACTATGAGTGGGCGCATAAATCATCTGAATATGAGTTTATTTCATTATTAGACAAAAGAGTTAGAGTTTATGGATCCATAAATCTTTCCTCTAAATTTTATGTTAGGAAAATTCTTTATAGTGGCATTTTATCGAGGTTCCTCGAGATTACTTTTTCAAAAGAGCATTTTTATTTTATCATTTTTTTAATTATTATGGAAGCCGCAAATTTAGTAGGAAATTCTTAAAAAAACATATAGGTTGAGATGGTTGTTGAGACCATTGAATGGACCATAACAATAATGAGGGTGAGTGCATGTGTTGTAGATGATTTTCTTGTTGTACATTCACATTGATGGCCCAATCTAACGACTCATGATATTGTGCCACTAATGGCTCATGATTCCCATGATGAGTCCATTAAGGTTCTGACCCAATTTGACCCTGATTAACTAATTTGATCAAAATGATTCTATTGGATTTGATTAAACTAGTGTAAGCAAAATATTATGCTTGAATGGATATAGTTTCAACATACGATAAATGATTTTTAGGATATAGGTGAAGTAAATGACATTCGCCAAGCTTATTATTAAATCAATAATGTTTTGAAGGTTAGTCCGTGGAAATATATATGTGATATAGAAAATTTAGAAAGTATGCTACAAATTTAATATTTAATATATATGTTTGATACATCACCAGCAAATTTTCATCATCCATAACGAATGTCGAGACATGACGCGAATCTCGAGACAACCTTTTGAGCAAGAAACATTCAAACATCAATTAAGAGTCATCCAGAGCTCCGATTTTATTAAACTTAGTGTCAAACTGACCGACTCAATGAGACGAACTCAATGATATAAGAACTAGTGCAATTCGAGTCAGATCAAGCCTGAATCAAATCATTAAATCACTCTTGGAGGATTTCTGGAGGTATTTGGAAGGTCAAACGGATGTTAAATCTAGTGAGTTCATAGTCGAATCGAACGTCTCGACAAAGCAAACCCATCGAGCCCAAGATTGCTCAATTTTGACATTGCTAAGGCACTCAAATGCCCATTAAATATCATCTGATCGAGGGAAGCTCTATGGACCGTCCGAGCAAAATAGTTCATATTCCTGCATTAATTGCACTCAGAACACTATAAATAGAGCCCACCCCTCACATGAGGGATGAGGCTAGAGAGAGAACTTGAGGCTTTGAGAAGGAGCTCAAGTCTCACATCATCCTTGTCATCGTCGATCTCCGTCGGCCGCCATCGACCACCACCGACCTTCGTCGACCATCGCCGCCCTCCGTCAATCACCGCCGACAGTCGTTGGCAACCGCCAACCGTCGTCAATCACCACCAACCAGACACCGACAATCGATGCTGTAATCTGAAAATCTAATAACCATTTCCCGTCTGTGGGACGAGGAATTTCTGTAATCATCAATCAATAATAGATTTTCGTAATTGGATCAGACACCGTGATTTTTCCCTTTCCAGGTTTTCCGTGTAGAAGTTTTTAGAGTTATCCCTGTTTATTTATTTTTCATCTATGTATGTGTACGCTAAATTCTCATACAATACTAAGACGATAATCCGTTACTCTACCGCCGCAAATTTTCTAGCACGCATCAATGTTATTTTTTATATCTATGTTAAGGTGTTAGAATTGTAAATACATATACTTTTCTATTTTTAAGTGTCCAATTTTACTTTCACCAAAAATTGACAGCAAATCATTTTTTTTTTTCCTTCTTTTTTCTCATTCCAGTTTTCACGTGCATTCCGCCGTCAAAAATCGTGTTAAGTAGCCCGTACGAGGATAGGTGGGCCCGCGAAGAAAGAAGCATCCTCTCGTGGGCCCCAAACGAATCAAATTTTGACAGCGAGAAAAAACCACTCTGGTTTTCCAAAACCACCCTTCCCCCCTCCTATCAAATCAAAGTCCGGTTTTCTAAACCCTATATTACACACAGAGTTCAGTATATACAATATGATTATTGAAGTCTGCTCACATTTAAATTCTATATCTAATATTTCCTAATTAAACGAAAAAAATTTTCATATAAAGTACATACGCAGTTTTATGTGCGAACTCTGGTAATATACAATCATGTAGGACTGTAAACGAGTCGAGCTTGAGCGAGCTCAGACATGGCTCGTGTTCGGCTCGTTCGAAATAGCTCGTGTTTGAAATCGGCTCGTGTTCGAAATCGGCTCATGAATAATGTGTTCGTGTTCGGCTCGATTTAAATATTCGTGTTGTGTTTGTGTTCGGCTCGAAATTGACTCGTTAAACTAAAATTGAGAAAAATAGATGTAAAGTGTGGGATTCGAACATGGATCAAATCTATACAAAAAAGACGCTAATCACATTGCCACATGAGGTGTTATGATTTAA